TAACGTAAACGGTAATTTGCATTTCATGATGTAATATCTCCTGGCATTAAATTTAGCTACATCCTTAACTTCATACTGGCGAGATCCGATATACTCAGGTAGGTTATATGTATGTATATATATGATATAATAGTATATATAATATATATTATATTATAATATATATATATATATATATATCACGCACACGTACCTGTACCAACGATTCGAGCCTTTAGTCTGACGCACACAAAGAAATTTCACGAGTGGTAGCTATTGCACTATAAGAATATCGCTAGTTCTTTTGGTCTAAGATTCGGCGAGCCTATACGCGTCATGTGCATTCTTATTCAGCGCGCGATTTTTTGGGAAAGAATCGTTAAATTTCGGGGGAGAGCTAGAGTGTAGTCATTTGAAATCGATGAAGCGATAAGACTTCACTTTTAACGTCCGTGATTCGCGCGCGAACACCCACCCGTAGAGGGACTCTACCCCACATCCACCGTCGCACTTCTCATCGGCATACGTAGAGACGTAGATTACATCTAGCTCTACTCATGGCCATCGTGTTAGGTTATCAGAGAACAGGGCAGGTCTCGGCGTATCTTCAAGAAATCCACCATGCGTGTAAATGATAGGGTGAAGTTGTGAGGCGGACCGCTGACGGACAGCGCTACCCTAAACGCCCGCTACACCTTAGGGGGTCTATGACAGTGCAGTCGTAACCAGCGCGCGCTCCCGGGGACTCTAACTGCCTGCAGCTGTGGGCGATTTTCATTAGAGAGAATGGCAGCGGTTGATGCGCGGTGTACTCGGTCTGTGCATGGCGTGGCGGAGGGTGTATTATATTATAGTGCGAGAGGATTCTAAATTACTACTGATCTACTTACATACGTATATGAACTCTCCGCGGAGTTGTGTATGCTTGTAAGTAGAGCAAGGGCTGCAGTGGATACGGTCGCGTCAAATGCTTGCTGTGTGCATTTTAAAACGGATGGAAGTCGTTGGAAAAGTGAGCGTTGAAAAGTGAGCGATTTCAGTGTTTATTGGATGGCGTCGCTTCGAGCTATACGTGCGTGGTGTCACCTGTAGCTACACGTGTATGTTGCTGTGCTGCTGACAAATCATACAAATTCAACCAGAATATATAACCAGTTGGTGCTGGCGTGGGCTATAGGCTAGCGCGTAGTGCACGCGGCGTTGGCCTTGTTCGAAACTGCCGTAACCTAAGCACGCGCATACCTCGCTCCTATCATTTCCAAATTTGCGTGTCACTGCCGTTCAAGTTTAATGCAGTACGCGATATTAGAACACGTGATGAACCATTTTTGAAAACGCTTTGTTTCGACGAGACGCGCATTTTGCTATTGCTACCAGCGGACTGTATATGTTGTCATACAGGTACTAGAGATAGGTGCGGATCGGTTGTGTTATGCGTGGCTGCGCGGTACGATGTGTGACGACATGGCCCAAATTGAAGTTTACGAATAGCCTTCTTCGCGGACAATCATCTCTGATCATCAAGTGACAGAAATAAACGAGTAACGTTTTTTGCTCGATCATGTTTATGATCACATACTACTACTGCATGCCGCGCGTGGAGAGATTGACGGCGGTAGCATATACTGCCACAGTGTGTGCTTCCGGATGTGTGTACATAAATTATAGCCTATACTCCTCACTGCTACTAGCCTGCTGAGAAACTGCTGCCAGCGCTGCCTGCATGGTGGGCAATCGACATGCGTACCGGCCGCCTTCACAGTCAGGTGAGATATAGGTGTTATATAGTTCTGACGTTTAATTGTAGGGCTACCCAGCTTCATGTTTCTTTTCATTTTGTGCCGAATTACGCTGGAATTGCGTGATATTGTTACATGGTTAATTGCGTGACGTTGTCACAAAAAATTAATTAATTTTTTAATTATATTTACGGGTAGTATACTGACAAGTATATGATATTTTTAGATGATTTAGCATGCGCGCGCCACGCACGCCCCGCACGCAGACGCACGCACGACACACACACACACACACACAAAAAACACACACACACACACACACACAGACAAACAAGGAACCAGCTACTTCGATCATAACATTGATTAACTTTATTTTAACTTAATTTAACATTGTTAATTCGCGCCCATTCCAGTTCTACATTGCTGATGGTATCATGCAGTTTAGTATGCATAATTAAATTGCCACTTTGTTTAAACCTGCTGTGCAATAACCCTATATATATAATAATTAGTATTATACGATTTCCCCTAAATAAATTTTGAGATCAGAGTAGACGTTAGAATATATTACGTTGGTAAAAATCAGGGGTGAATAATTACAAATAATATGTGAATAATATTTGTCATTATTAACCCCTGGTAAAAATGTATATATAGTTCAGACGTGCAGACGTACATATATGTAGCTGTTTGCCGTGGCTGATCTCGTAAAAAATCGGTTGCGACTAGAAAAAGCAGGACGAGTAGCTATAGCTAGCTATATATACGGGTCGAGTCTACACTTACTGTACATATTGGTTTATTGTGTTGGTTTTTCAGACGTAGTCTCATCAACGAATTTACCCAGTGGCGGATCGAGAGGGGGTTGCGCCCCCCCCCCCGTTCAGCCACTGACTAATGTTATGATACTGTAAAATTAGGCCCAAAAATTAAAAAAGTCAGTCTGGCAGGCTGATAGAAACTGGGGATTTCCCCTGTGACCACACAGCTGCTGAGTTTTACAGGTGGCGAGGAGGCATGCCCCGACCACCCTAGCACGCGTGCCTTCGCGCACGCCTTCACTCAAATATCAGCCCCCCCCCCCGTCTCCCGAAAGCTAGATCTGCCCGTTTACCTATATTATCTACTATGTATTGTGTTGCAAATTAAGCAGTGGAAAAGCCGGTTCTTTGCCGGAATAGATCTTTATAATACAACATGCATATTTACGCGGCATATAGATATGCGGTACTTGAATGAACATAGCTAGATTAACGATAAGGGTGACGTATTCCACATCAATATGATCGATCAGGGAACGCCCTGCAGAAAATCGTTAACTATTAATAGGAATCTTTGGCTTAACATATATACACCAAGAGGAAATATACGAGGGGTGGTTGACATCATAACACCGCGCAGCACGCGCACGTACGCACTCGCACAACCGGCGACACACACACACACACACACAGCCACACACACACACATACCGCACACACGCACACACACCACACACAGCACGCACGCACGCACGCACGCACCACACCACACACACACACATATATATATATATATATAAATATTCCCTGTTACCGATCAACCCTATCTACCCTCTTTCTTCTTACATCCGGGTCTTCCATTCATTTCTCCTCCGCCCCTCATCAAGCTACCCCCCTTAGCTTCCCCCTTGCCATTCTCCTTCAAACATTTCTTTCTTAATCTTACTTCTCCCTATTTCCTACTACTCCTGGTATTTTCGCCTTCGTCACACTTCTACTGGTCTTCCACCTCCCTATACATAACCCCCCCCCCACTTCACACTCTTCTCATACTTCTTATACACCGATCTACTAGCGTATCTCCTTCTTCCTTATATCTTTCCCTCTCCTGTTTCATCATTCTTCGTTGCATCCCACTCCTCTTCTTCCTCCTCTGTTTGCGCATCTTTCATTTTCTTCCCTTTTGTCATTCACGTTCTGTATATTAGAGCATTTACTGTATATTATTGTTTTGTAATTATGCCCTAGAATCAGAAGTAAGATGTTTGTTTATTACGTTTATTATTATTATTATTATTATTATTATTATTATTATTGTAAGTATAGTAGTAGTAGTAGTAGCAGTAGCAGTCGTAGTCACCCCATTTTCATTACATTGCGAAATATTTTTTCGTAGTGTTAGAGAAATAATAGCTCGTTGTTAAAATTTCACCAGAATGCTGAAATGTGCTAATTTATATATTACACCTGTGCATGCCACCTACCCTGTATCGTTAATAACGTTTAGTGTACTCTTAATTGCGAGAGGGCGTTCACACACATTGTCGGCGCTTGAGCGCGCGCAGGGAGGTGGTGTAGGCACCTGTACCGTTGAAGAAAGCGAGAGAATGACCAGGGTAGTCGTACGATTTTTTCGAGTAGAGACCGAAGTGTTCGCAGATCACTTCCTTATTCTCCTTTCCGAAAAGCCAAACAATGTGTACCGATAGACGATAGTAAATGGTTGTGTTTGTTCTATAGTGCCTTGAATGCCGTGCGCGTTCCGTCAAGAGGAGGCGATAAATGACGTTTGAGTGTATAGCTCGCGCGGGTTGGCCTGCCATTCTGCAACGAAATTACTTAGCACACAGCAATTACTCAGACTGCATTGTCTTCACTCCTCATAGGCCTACTCATCCACTCATATGTCTGTTGTCTCGGAAACACAGTCACGCGTAAGGCGGAGTGAGATGGGACGGGTTCACAGATGGACTGCCCCATCGGCCGCATTAATACTGTTGTTTTTGTAATGTAATGTAAGCTGTTTTCTCTTCCCTGCCAAGTTTGTCCAAATATGATGATGTCATTGTCTCGAAAACTTGCAGAAGAAGTGTTAGAGCTTCTATGCACAAACCGGCACGATTCAGTTTTTCGGTGAATCTGAATTAGTATGCAATTTCAAATACATCTACAGCCAAAGTCAAATTCGAATTATATTTGATTATAAATTCAGTTTTAATGTGATTTATTTCACTGATTACGACGACGTCGACCCTGATAATGACGACGCCGATGATGGCGGTGGTGATGATGATGATGATGACGACGACGACGACGATATTGTTGCTTCTACAGCTGATGCTACTACCGCTACCACTGGCTGCGCTACTCACGAACTGTAAACGCGTGCGCTGATGCGCGTGCGTGCGCGAGTGTGCGTTAGTGTACATGATGGGTTCACACTATCAGTATGCACGGTAACACTGCTGTTACTCGTGCTGTGTCTGCTACCATACGTATTTTGCGGCATTGCATGTTACAGGGGTGGTGATCATCATCAAGGGAGGAAAATGGACGAGCTAAACAGCGCAGACATCAGACACGCGTGTAATCGCATGTTTACTGGCTCCGGCAGACGCGTGCCAGTCCAGAATGCCAACCCGGTAAATTTAGTTCATCTACTCCGTTACCACATAATCGCAAGGAATACCAATCTGGGGCCTGTTGTCAGAAACATCGTAAAGTTAAGGCATAATGTTGAGACTAATTTTGTTTCTGACAACGGGCTCCTGGTAATTAGCGTATGCTTGTATATATACGCGTACTTATAGTTAAGATGCATATAAATGTATGAGTTTTACAAACTTAAATTCAGTCATAATTTTAGGTATAATTAGCATAGTATTCAATAACCATGATTATTACGTATGCGTCAATGTTGTTATAAATAATAATATTGACACAGCCGACGATTCCAAGCACACATGTACAGATGTATCGACTTTCTCCTACCCCCTGGTCTTTACTTAAATGGTCAGGCTAAACATTTCGTATCTTTGTGTGAAGGATGAACAACAGACAAAGCCTGGCAGTGGTGCAGAGCCCCAGGCCCTCAACGGCGCTAAATGCCATCTTACCAGTACCAGGTGCAAGCCTAATCGGCCTAAGAAACTCGTCTCTTTCCAAGCATTTCGCTCTTAATGGCAAGGAATTTAAACGGCTAGTGTGTGGGCAATGAACCTTGCTTGCATCGGTAAGGGGAGCCTATAGCTTCAGCTACTAAAATAGTAGAGGAGGAGCAACCATACTACATGCTGAATACATGCTGCAATTTTGATCTGCATTCGAAAACTCATTCGAATATATGCCGCTATCGTTCATCGACATCGATGACAGCCTATATAATACGAAAAACGTTTACAATAACGCTTCACTCGTTGATAATAGAAGTCAGTCTTACAAACGCCCTGACAATAGGTAAGGTGCAGTTACTAATCCACCACTGCAACCAATCCACCCATAAAATATAACCCCGCCTCTGCAGTAACCCATCCACCCCTGTACTCAGTCCACCCCTCCCCCATCAGAGATTGCAGCGAAAGTTGTGCATGAGTGGATACCACGCTGCGCAGGTCACTTCACACGCTATTCTCAGAACGCTAGCGCATACGAGTGCCTGCTCGGTGGTTTTGTACGTGTTTCTTCATTAACGCTGCTCAAGTGGTTTCATTGCTGACAAATTTATTCATCTTGTGCACTGAAGTCATGAGGAACATGGTAGGTATAGTATGAAACTCCAAGCCACTATTTACCAGGCAACCGATGAGTACGTGTAGTATTATGCTCGGTCGCTCCGTGTTGCTGGGTCAGAGCTGGGACGGGGGATTAGCCATCCCAAATTCCTAGCCAGATTTTGTCTCAGATTGCTCTTGAGTTTTCTTACAGAATATACGTGCCTATCGTTTCCTTACGTTTTTTGTAACAGAGCCCAACTGCCTCAGTAGTTAAAAAACACTAGATTTGGAATTCGTTATAACCAAACAAAACAAAAATCAAACAAAAGTTTTGAACACGGCCAATGCTTTCACGAGTAATAATTTATTTCGCGTGACTTCGCATTCCTCTCTCGTGTATACATCACTTCACCATGCTCGCGTTAGGGTAGACCGGACGCTCGATCACCCCGGCACCGTACTTCCGTTCGAGAAACTCGCGCACGCGATTGGGCGCGCACACGTCCACACCGCCGAACACTACCTGACCGATCGGCTCGAGGAATCGCGCGGGAAACTCACGATCGGCCGCGCGCACCGCCGCTGCCCGCCTCCGCGCCATGCCGCCCTCGACGACGTCGTACAGATAGATCTCGACGTGGAGCCGATTCGTCTCGCTGTAGCGCACGCGGATCGTGTTGCCCGCCGTGTCCCCGCTCTCCCACACGTAACCGTCTGCGTCCACCACCGCTCCCTCCCTGCACGACACCAGCAGGGGTAGCTTGGCGACATCGTCGGCATTTATTCCCAAGTCCGCGTCGTAATCCCACGGGATGAGCGTGCCGGCGCGAGCCGCGCCGAGCAGCGCGCCATTGTCAAGCCAGTGGCGCACTCTATGCTGGGCGAGCATCGCGAGAACGTGCTTCGCGGTGATGGTGATGGCGCGCAGACAGCAGGGCGGCGCCCAGCGTCCCTGCTGCAGAAACCCGGGTGCCGCGTCGCCTACCGTCGCGGCGAAACAGCTCGCGGTATTCCTGTCGCAGCCATACCAATCCACCGAGTGGTTGGCGTGTGTCACCTTCTTAATGCCGGCGAGTCGGTGAAACGCTGCCAACTCTTTCCTCTGCTGCTGCGTCCCAGAGACGAGCGGGTTCTTCCTTAATAGTAGGACATCGTCGCAGAGGTGAATGCTCATGTTGAGCATCGCCGCTTCCACGAACAAGCTATGCGGAAACGGCCGCGCAAACGGCCACGTCAGCCTCAAGATGGCCGCCTTGGTTGTCACGACGACGGGCACTCCCAGGAAGTAATTGCACTCGGCTGCGCTGAGGCGCGGTAGGGAGAGGGTCATGCTCCATTCACGCGGGGATAGCCGCAACACTTCACATGACTCCTCGTCCTCGTCGGTTCCTTCTTCTGTTGGCACGACGACGATGTCGTGAGGTCCAGCGACGAGATGTCTTATCGACTTCTCGACCATGTCGGGCGACACCAGCCTCGTCCCGTCGCCAACGACGACGACATACTCCGTCTCGATGAACCGTGCCGCATCACTCTCGTGATGCGGTTGCCCGGCATCCAGCACAGCGATGGTGACAAGATGCTGCAGACTTTTCGGGAGGGTGATGGGAGGATGTGTGCCATGGTCGGAGAGGATGAGCCCTCTCGCGTCCAAAATGCTCCCGAGAATTTTCTGGAACGTTTTGACTATGCTGTTCTCGTGCGGATCAAAGTTTCGCATGACGATCGTCACCTTGCCTCGCTCTGCATGTACCCTTGCTCCAAGCTTAGTGGCATCCATGTTGTTAAATGCGTCTGGACGCAGACGAATAATGTAGAGCAGAACTAAGATGTAAACTAGCAGGGCCACGCCAACGAGAAGTAAGACGCGTCTGAACTTTGTCATTACTACAGCTCCTCACTGCAGCTTTCCAGTGCTTCTCAATTTTCTGTCCAGTGCATAACACACCTGAAGCGGTAAAAAAGCCAACATGAAATTATAAAACGATCGATGATGCACAGAGTAAACCAGTAAATGCAAAACTATCAATCGCAGTACAGTCAAAACTACGTATAAGGGTCACTCAACAGAAATGCCCAGTTTCCTTTACAGGTGTCCAGACAGGTGTCCAATCTATAAAGGTTATTGTTAATGTTAATACACGTTTGACTGCAAATATTTTACAGGTCAGTATACGAGTGTTTGTTTTTCTCTCAGGATGGACAGGTTAACCCGGCCTATGTTGCTGAGAGTGCGCCACATCGGCACAGCCAGCGCGGCGAGCGCAACATCTCCACTGCACCACCAGCATCGGGGAGAAGCCACGCCACACAGAGCCCCAGCCACGGCGGCACCCCGCGCTCACACACGCCGAACAGTCGCACCTCGACGCCACACAGCGCGCGCGCGAGGGATTCCAACGGCCGCACGCCAACGCACGACACGACGAGAGATCCTCCGGCGAACGGTCACAGCATGATCCTCGAGCCGGACGTGATGTACCCGCACCCGCAGCGCTCGCCGCCGCCGCGCCCCGCCGCAAAATCCGACCCGGCGCGTCACTCCTTCGGCCAGGACAAGCACGCGCGCCACGACAACACGCATCGCGCACACCCGCTCGCGCCCGCGTCTGCGGAGGACTTCACAGTCCACCCGACATCGCACAAGCACGACGTCATCGTCGTCGACAACCGTCGCAGTTCCTCCCAGGGGGCCCCGCTCGGCCGCAAGCTGCCCGGCAGGGTGCCGACGCCACTCGCGACGCTGCTCGACAAAACCTCGAAGGGCTTCACGGAGAATCCGGCGTGGCGACGGCAGCACAGCGAGGACAGCGAGGGATCGTCGCTCTCACCGCCGCTGCCTCCGCTCTCTCCCGGCGACTCGGGGTCGTCCGACGACGACTCGCTTGACCCCAAGCGCCGTGGCCACCAGCGAGGGCAGTACCGGACGTCGCGACTCACGCCGGACATTCTTGATGCGACGCCGCGGAAGGAGTCGGGGAAGAAGATGAAGCGAGTGCCCAGCATCACGGCAATCCCAAAGAAGACTGCGGGGGTGGACAAGCCGAAGAGGAGACGAGCGAAAAAGTCGCAACACATCAGTGAGTGTTTTTTGTTCACGTTGTTTCGAACAAAACTGTTTTTTGCTTGCGCAGTTTAGACTAGGCGAGGGCTGATACGATCGCAGAACGTAAACACATCTTGGGTTATCTGCACTTTGCTATCATCACACGTTGTCAGAGGCTAGATGCTAGTGGGTGCATGAATTCACAACAAACTAGCGAATTAGCTATCACCATCATGCTTGGGGCAAAATCTACACTTTCGCTGCATAAAAGTTCAAAGTTAATACTAAATAATAAAGGAGATATGGAAAAAGAGATACATAATTGGATAAATCACTCTTGTTTTGGCAGATATTTCCAGTCTGATGAATAACAGCTCACCAAATGCGGGGCCAAACGCAGAGCATTTGGAGATCGACTACTCAGGCAGCAGTTCTGAGGATGGCAGCTACACCAGTGGACATTGCACAAGCGACTCTGAAGAACCAAAGCTGCGCAAACAGATGGATGGCATGGAGACCATGTATAGTGAACTGCTCAGGGTAAGGACCCAACTAGCTGTTATAGGTACCGTACCCATCGTATCAAATACCCCCAACATCTGGTCAATAAAATGTTCATAATATAAGGTGCTTCCTATCCATGAAAAACTTTGTAAAATGAAGTCCAGAATATCTACAAATTAAAATAAAACATGTAAAATAAAGTCCCAAACGTTCAAGTGCTTATGATGATGAAGTGTATTGACTTTGGTTTGGTGCAAGTTGTTTTTGTTTTGAAGCATGCACTGGTCAGGTACTATAGTCATACAGGTGTGAGCTGTAGTTTTAACTACTGTGACATTACACCGAATAAACTGTACAGTTGGCTCACTGAATGCATCTAACGTGTGGAATAATTTATGGGTATTGCAGACGATGGGAGTGAAGGCAGATGTACTACAGAAAGTCCAACATAACATCAGGAATGCACAAGTTCAGGGAGAAGGTCAAGATAAGAAGTCCTCAGGATTAGTCATGCAACACCAGCGCTCTAAAGACGTTAGGTAGATATAAATGTATTAAGCCTGTTACGGTGCTACCACAGCAAAGCATAGGATAAACACCAACTACCGATTTTCCTCTCCTGTGGAGCATTGTTTGTGATATGGTGTTTATATCTTTTGTGTGCTTACTTTACTACGTATTACATTAGCACTGAAAGCTCTATTAATTGTAAACAATATTTTTGGATATTTAGTCACGCATGGCAGAATTTTGTAACAGAGAGCCATGCAGATGCCTGTGCAGGTCAAATAATAATTTTCAACAAATTACAGAGCTGATTCTGATCTTTTATGGTACATACTTTCCAACAACTAACATTTTTATTATTTCTATTTTTATTTATGATTATTTATTACGGTTAATATAAACGTAAAAAAGAGATTTTTAACATCAATTTTCAACACGTGACACGTTTGTATGTGCAGAGCAGTGAACAGGAGGTTTTCGCGGCTGGAGTCGCACGTCGTCACACTGGCTCGCAGCGTCGCGCACCTCTCCTCGGAGATGCGCTCGCAGAATCTCATCGTCACGGAGATGGACAACCTGAAGAAGGAGCTGAAGGAGTTGGAGATCACGAAGCCGCGTGGCACCGTCGCCGGTCACAGAAACGACGTGCAGAACTTTCGCCAGGTGCTGCCCGGCCTGACGAATCCCTACAGGGTGCAGAAGCTATCAAAGTAAGCGCATCGTAAACAAAGCAATCACGTGAAGGGGAATTATCCCTTAATGGCCTCGCCAACTGTTGTTGAGATCTCATGAGTTCATGAATCCCTCTACAGTGTGCGGACGTTATAAAAGTGATTGAGTCGTAAACAAAGCAATCACATGAAGGTGAATTATCCTCTAACAGGACTAACTGTTGTTGAGAAAAGTCAGTATTTAGTAAGCAACATTCATGTGAATGAAATTCAGCTAACAGTTGTCGAGATCATTTGAGTCTGTATCATTGGCTGTCCATAACAATCACTGTGTCTACGGAGTATGGTCGCCAGAGTTTTAATTGGAATATTTTTTGGAAGGGGGAGCGTATCAAGCGAATATATCTATAAGTTTACGTTTCATTACACTTGTGTTCACTTTTTCACCCTGCAGGTTCTTTGGTGAAAATCCACCATTGTTGCACATATTCATGAAGAAGCTAGGCTATGAGGTAATCATCACTACGGGATATGTTACTTTTCTGTCAAACCTAATCCCATGCAAAGGTTGAGGAAGGTTACAAAACAACATAAGCCAACAAGACCATAGAGTGGGGATAGAACTTGACCAGAATGTCTTAAACAACCACCATCTTACCTTGATAATCATGTTTATATGTAAATGAATACATTCCTCACACATATTCCTGACATTACACCTTCCACTATATGCACGACTTCATCCATCCACACTACTATGCACAATTTAATATGTATATATATTACTGTCTCTCTTGTTTATATAAATGTTTGATTACTGACAAATGCCCATATATATGAACCCCATCACCACGCCAAACAAGCTATTTTGGAACAAATCTGCAAAACAACAAGCTATACTGGGTCGAAGGTATTAGAGATATTGAAGTTTGTTTTTGTAGAAGAGGGCATTATTGAACTAACAGTCTCAGGATTCCTGATCTAAACAACATTTCTCATGATTTTGCAGAAGTACATTCCACTGTTTGAGAATGAGAAGATCACGATGGTGGAAATACCATACTTAGACGAGAAAAGGCTGGAGAAGATTGGCATCCCAATGGGACCTAGGCTCCGTATCGTCCAGGAGGCACAGATGTCCTTCCAACAGGAGACAGGAATGATCCCTGAACCAGGCACAAATGTGTACTTCATATGATGGGGCAGTGTTTCGTGACCTGAGAACCAATCTCTACTTCATATAATGATAGAAGATCCCTAAACTGGACACCAAATCATACACCACATATGATGACACATTTTCCTCCAATAAAGCACTAGTGGTTACTTCATATGACGGTAGAATAATTATCTCTGGACTCAGGAACCAGGCATAGTGCATATTAATACAGTCAAAAACCTGTACATGAGGGCAACTCAAGGGAAACTCCGTGTGGAAAAACTATATCCTCCTATGGACAGGAGTCCATTTTACAAAGTGAACCACTCACAAAATACAGAAATTTGCAGTGAACCCATGATTGGTGTAGGATCCAAACGTGTATTGCATTCCAGAATATAGGGACTGGTGATACAGCAATATATCTATCTGCCTGCAATAAAAGCGTTATTTTGTAAATTACATTGTGGGGAATGTTATTTTAAGTTGTTTTAAAAGAAGATAATTGAAGTCTTGAAAAAATGTATATATAAATTGTTTACCCATTTTTTTATGCATATGCATTTCGAATATAAATATATACTAGGAGAATATGTGAAATTATTTACCAATGATCAATTGCTAAATCATGAAGATTTATGTCAGTGTGCTGTGTCACTTATATATTCATGATTATAAGGAGTGACTTTACACTCACTCTGTAGGTACAATGAATGCATGACTGACAGAGAATACTTACAACCATTAGATCGATACGAGAATAGCCATGTCTATAGTTTTCAATGCACTTTTCTGGGGTTTTGCCTTAGGCACCACAATGTGCCGTACACATTTTATTGGAAGCACAGTCGTGGACCTAATTAACCGAGTGATTGATTAGTAATTACGAGTGCGTGGCTGTGTGCATGTGTGAAAATTAACAACATTCTGCTGCCACCTACTGTTTAAAAAGGTAGTATGCACCAACGGCAGAAATGCTGTCACCTGGATATAGAGATGTACGCACGCAAAAAAGTGTGCATAAATATCATTGTACATTGAAAGTCCTTTATATATAAGATGGTCTGGATAAAAATGGCAGTGCATTTAAAATATTCATACATTTTGTAAGTTGTAATATATATGGCACTGAGAAATATTAACTATGTATGCTTCAGTTACACTTGCATTTGAGTTGTTTTTCAAATGAACAGAAAAGTAATTTCTTTATTAGAGTGTATCTGATTCTGATCACATGGCATTTTCAATAAAACATTTCACGAAATGTTCTCAACATAAACAAATTAGGCCATAAGCTGTTCTGCAAAGAATTGAGGGTTGAGTGCTATCTCAATTGTAAAAGCAAAAGCTGAGGGTGCGACACTTTCTAAAATTGTTTTTTAAACCAACCATATTATCTCACGAATAAATCGGAAAACTGCATTTAAGTGTAGATAAATTGTGTCTCACCTATTAGCACACCTTTTACTGATTACTCCGGCCCGACAATCACCACAAATTTGTTTTGTTATAGGCTATAAAACTGCAGATGAACAGCAAACATGCGCCCGCCATCTTCAGATTTGAGATAATAGAATGTTCAAACGGTCCCACACAATGAGCGCACATAGTTACGAGACACAAATATTTATAGACTGGTACATATTTTGAAATGTATACAAAGGTAATTAACCTAGCACAAATTATACTTCAGCAAGGGAATGGGTTCAAGTATATCACTTTGCTCTACCATCTTCCAATGATACTGTTTCACAGGGCAATATAACATATAAAGCATCAAATTGTAAGTACTATGCACTCTAATCACAATCTTTTTTCGGCTCACAAATGTACAGTACATATCAGCAGAACTTCATAGATTAGGGTTATGGAAAAGTATAGCCTAGTGTCTAGAACTAGGTGGTTATGGTTATGGTTTAATTTTTGTTATGCCTGTTACAGAGTTTATACTCTACCTTCATTTTCAATCAGCATTTCTAGTGTAAGCAACAGAGAACTCAACCTACCTTCTAGAGTTTAGTTTCCCTCAGTGCCGACACTGACCGGCAATTCTGGCCGGTAGACCTTTATGTGAATTGCGGAGTTCATGCGGGTCTGTGTCTTCTGATCGTGCTGGTCATCAGTCGGCTCCAGATCGTCGACTAGTTCAACGGAGGATGTGTGTACGGCAAGATCTATCGTTCCCAGACCTCTCTCCTTCAGCTGCAGTGCCATGTTCAATCCGCGGTTGATGGCCGCTCCCAGAGCATGTACGTAAATCTCATTGTAACCACTGTCCAACAGTTTCTGGCATCGTGCCAACTGTGCTTTAAAATCGGTTTTCCTGGTGACGTATACGTCGTTCTTGCGCTTTGGCAGTCTCCTGGGTAGACGTTTTCTTAGAGTATATTCTTCTCTGTCGAGGGGCAGTTCAACGTTCGCCTTTACATGTTTATCAACTGTATCATCAGCCATTTTAGCAAGGCTTGCATTTCATGACCCTATCACAGAAAAATAGTAGTAATACTAATGCCAATAGAACTCTATTGAATAATTAACAAAACATATTTATTTATATAGCCAGATATTTACGTAATTCATAAAAAAGTATAATAAAGCAATCATGCAACAGAATTGAAACTATTATGCATGCTAATAGCAAGATAGGTAAGCAAAGAAGAAACCTTATCCACTAATCCATTAACAAAAACAATCGATAATCGCCAAACAAATAAATGGGTGCGAAATGACACAAATTTTAGCTTCCTACAATAATCGCTCCCAATCTGCAAATGACAACGTACTACACTACTAGATTTTACGAACATACACCCAACTCTCAAGTTACCTGACTGTGGCTGACATTGAACCCCAAACAAAATTATAACCCAATACATGTTTAACCCCCACAATTTTTAACTCAAACTTCATCATTTTTCACATAATTCACCCTCACCTCTTATATTCACCTCTGCCTATTTTTTATTTATTTATTTAGATAATTATCCATGATACATGTATAGCATCCTTTTACAATATATTTTGAATTCATGAAGTTGGATACTCCATCTCATCCATCAGCCTATCCTTCACCCACCTCTATGCTACTAGTTACGTTTTAGTTTTACCTCCTTAACTACTCCCCCCATCAACCCTTAAAGCTAATCATATATGCAGGATTAGCTCTAGAACTATAGACCTTCCCCAATTCATTTTTGCAATGTGCGACTTGTGCAAATGTGAAAATGTGGACAGCTGTTATATCCTTGGGTCCTTCTCTCTGCCACAGGTGCAGCCACTGCCTGTGACAGAGCGAAGGGCTATATATACTAATATAGTTCTAGAGCTAATAGTAATACTACAGAATACTGCTAAATTACTACAATTAGTATTAGTATTACTAGACATAAAAATCACAAAGTGGCTGGAGGTACGGCAGCCGTCGTTCGTTGAAGCCCCTTTTAGTGTTTGTTTGAGGGCTGAAGCAATTATTTGCGATCTTCTGATGTAAAGTTTACAATAATGATCATTTTCATACCTAATCCGAGTGTTTTCTAGCTCATCTAAAACTCTCAAGACGTGAATTTGTTTCCCAATGCATTATTTCGAAATCTTAATTGGTCGCCGCCATCTTTGTCTCGTTTGTATGAAAGCGAACAGACTGCCGTACCTCCAGCCTCGTAAATTGGAGATACGGCTGCCGTACCTCCAGCAAGGTCATAATTAAACAAATCTTTGTTTGCCCTCACCCGACCCAGGCTGAAAAGTTTGGGTAGGTAGGTAGGCTTCTTTTTTTTACAAATTCAGCATGGTGTCTACATCATGCTCGGGAGTGCTTGTGTGGAGATACCTTTTATGTTGAATGTTTGTTTTGCTCAATGCTTGGTACATTGCCTACAGATTTATATAATGTACAGTGATACAATTTGTAAAAAAAAAAGAATGGGAAAGATCAATAAAAATGTTTGAGTCGGCCCGTTTTTGGCGGGTCGGTCGGGTGAGGGCAAACAAACAATATATATTGAATATTTTTATCATGGCCCCACTGCCTAAAAATCAAGTTGTGGCTCCTTGAATACAGTCGAGCAGCCATAGCCATACAGAACATTCATAGCATAGCATATAATTGATTAAATGTGTTGCACTGTTTGTGTGCCCGTTAACACTCCAGCTTAAACGAGACTACAGACAAATGTTCCATCACACAATAACACGCTGAAACCACATGCACTTGGAACGTCTCAATAAAAAAAAGTAAATAAACACGAAATGAAGTATTATGCATACTGATTAAAGGTTTACACATAATGATCAATCTTTCATACTAAGTTCCAAGAGTGTTTTGCTAAATAGTCGATCTTCCAAGGGCATAAAAACTAACTCAGAAGATCGTTTGAATTTGATATTGCCATTTAATTGTGATACCATAACTGCTTCTATTTTTCGAATATCTGGAAATTTGGGTCAGGGCCCAGCGCCAGGTATCATTTGTCTCGTTATGTAGTGAAAGGCGAACCAATGTGAACTGTCGCTTTTTAATATAGACCGGATTAGTTGGAGATTTTTATCCGAAATCCAACGCCGTAGCTCTAGCCGCTCGTAAATTGGAGAGATACGGCTGGCCAATAACCTCCAGCAAGGTCAATAATTAAACAAATCTTTGTGTTGCCCTCACAACCGACCCAGGCTGAAAAGTTTGGGTAGGTAGTTAGGCTTTTTTTTTACGAATTCAAGCATGGTGTCTACATCCTGCTCGGGGGCTGTGTGGAGATAACTCTTTATGTTGAATGTTTGTTTTGCTCAAACTGCTTGGTACATTGCTACAGATTTATATAATGTACAGTGAATACAATTTTGTAAAAAAAAAACGATGGGAAAGATCAATAAAAATGTTTTGAGTCCGGCCCGTTTTTGGCGGTTGGGTCGAGTGAGGGCAACAAACAATTATATATATGAATATTTTATTATGCGCGCCACGACTGCCTAAAAAATACCAAGTTTGTGGCTCCCTTGAATACCCCCCCCCCAGTCGGAGGCAGCACATAGCCATACAGAACATTCATAGGCATAGCAAAGACTATATTGATTAAATGCTGTTGCAGCTGTTTTGGTGTGTCCGTTAAACACTCAAGCTTAAAACGAGACTAGCAGACAAATGTTCACATCACCGTACGCATAACAACGCTGAAACCACATGCACTTGAACGTCCTCAATAAAAGGTAAATAAACACGAAAGTATTTACTACAAAGTCTTAATAATCGTTTCTCGTACTCTATTTGCGCCTATTATTCGCCGATAATTACCATAAAAGCCGGTCAAGATGCTAGATGCTGGCAACACACAAGTACGCGCGCATGCGCACTGTTGCAACAAACAACATGAATAAGCGTTTTATTCTCTTATTCATGTTATTTGTGCACAGAGCGTGCTAGCTCCAAGAAATGGTCATAGACAATTGGATATAGACAATAGAATATAGACAATCGGTCGCACAGCCTGGTCGGGCTAAAAGGCGTGTGTGAGCCAGTGAGGTGTAACTCGTGCTCAATGAGGGTCTATGTCCCCCAGGGACTGCCCGAAGCGCTACCGCTCGGTAAACTATTCTAATATGGTTAGAGTTAGGGTTTTAACGCCGACCAGGCTCTGTGTGACTAACGTCAAATATACATTAGCAGGCAGGGAAAAAAAAATTGAAAAAAAATTTCCGGGGCTCATCTTTGCAAACCCACCAAATTTTCGGGGGATACTTTTTCATTTTCCAGGCTTCTTTTCCACTTTCAGCAGGGCAACTTTTTCTAGAAGCTCAGGGGTTTGAGAAACGGCCCGCGAGGCAGCTGTGTATGGCTGTGCACATCGATGCTGCCGTACGTGCCTGATTGAAGTACGGGGGGGGGGGGGCACGATTTGTTTCCAGCAGTGGTAACTAATCACTACTAAAAATGTAGAGGGTTGGCATTGCTGGCTAGAGAGAGCGAGACAGCAAAACTCTTTTGGGGGAATTGACGAAAAAAGCTAGCACGCGGCGAATGACAACCAGCGAGTGTGACGGGCAGGGAAAAATATACGTGTGAATTTCAATTAGGCTTTTCCATGGATTACCGTTCTATAATCCTAGCGGGTTCGTTGGTCCTACGGGTCTACGTAGGCACGCCCCAGCACACACAATGCACGCATGCAGGCAGCACGCACCAGTGTTGTAGTCGAGTCCGCCGCCCCTCCCGTCGAGTCGCGAGTCCCGAGTCCCGGTCCGCACCCCCCGAGTCCGAGTCCGAGTCCGAGTTCGGAGTCCGAGTCCGCGCCACCCGAGGGTCCTGAGTCGCACACACAACCTCGGTCGCGAGTCCGAGTCCGAGTCCAGTTTGGATAAAAAAAAGGGGGGCACAGACCGACAAGGCATTCACTCTATGTATGTGTTTGTTCAAAATTGGGGGGGGGTGTTGTCCTGTCCGCATGGATCTGTGCACTTGTTTGTCATAAAATAGAAAGTACCAATAAAACTTGCATAAGTCGACACTTGTGGACCCAGCAGCATTTGTGTCGACTTAGGAAAATAACGGTGTGGAAAATAAAATAAAATAAAAATAAGAATTGTGCCAGTGTATGCATTGTTTACGCTACACAACATTTCTATTGTATGTAAGATGTAGATTAGTGCAATCATGACCGAGCTTGGCTATGAAAGATTGATCTGGGAAAACAAGCGCAACCGTGCATCGTAGACATTTCGAAAGTGTGATAGTC